TTACCACCGGGAAAAACCATCGATTCGGATCTCTACTGACAACAAATAATAAGACTCAAGCAAGAAATGTAGAAAAACGGCAGAAATTGATCAACAGAAAAGGCTCTTTGATGAAAGACATGGACAACGCCAGACAACACCACATGTTTGGCCACTCAGCAAAAAATGAGAGTGTTTGATTGGGAAGTGTTAATGCATCCACAATATCGTCGTTTCAACTTTAAGACCTCGTATGTGTCACTTTTGCCAAAATTACTTTTTTACACCAGTCGTTTTCACATTTAAAAGCTCTATCAAATGCAAAATTCTCATGTGTATCCGACAATTCATTAGTAATTTATTTACCAACTTCAAGATCAACAATGTGCTTCCTAAATAAAAGTTGGTGCTTAAAATATCTTATGTGTCAATTAGGTTGATATTTTCGAAGAATATATTGAGGAACAAACTGCAGAAAACACAGCATCAAGTTCAAATATTATTGCCAGGCCAGGTAGAAAGGTTGAATGGACGAGAACTGTTAAAACATGGCTGAATATTTTACTAGAAGTACCAACCCATTACTGTCTAATTAAAAAAAATTATGCTGAATCGAGGCAATTTTAATTTTATATTTAATTTATTTCAAACAATCGTTAAAGATATAATATAAGAGAGAAAAATAAATTTGTGCCCTGGCAACTTGTCATCTGTCACTTATTGAGCAATATGGCGCCGACACGGAAGTCTTAAACTTTACTCAAGATATTTATATGATTTTTATATTATTTATTCATTTACATTGAATTTTTGTTGTGATATTTGTTGCCATATAGATAATGCATACATTCACTAACAAAAAATATAGAAATTGCAGTTTCCTTACTGAAAATAGATCTTCTAAGTAGTTGTCCGCAATGCCGGCCCGTACCGAAACTACGGCAATGCAGACGAAGTTTTACTTGTCCATGGCAGCGGAATTTGTCAATATAATAATAAATAATGAAAAAATGGGTGCGTTTGGCAGAAAAAAGCGCTAGCAAGCGCTTACAAGCGCTGAAATAGTTTTCGGCCAGGACACGATACTACTTCAGTAGCGCTGACACAATCCGCCATTTTGCTTATTTAATTTGTTTGTTTTGAAGTAGAGTTTTTAAGTTGTTTTGTGCAATATTAATATAATAACGTGAATAAACATACACATGTTATAAAAAGTTCATGATTGGTAAGTTTTTAATATGAATTCTTTACAAACATATATTTAAATTAGGTTAGGTTTCCCGGTTAAAACTAACATCGTGTCCTGGAGGAAAATAGCTACTTACGATTTGACAGCGCTTACCGCTTACGATCGCCATTTTGCTTACAAGCGCTTGCTAGCGCTTTTTTCTGCCAAACGCACCCAATATGTCGTCGCTTATGTTTTAACACCAAGTAGGTTAGTACCTAGTAAGTCATTTTTGGCGGTTTTGGCATTTTGATGCAATTGGCTAGAGAATCGAAAGACGCATTGTTCTCAGAAACAAGTATCATCCAGTAGAAACTCGTAACAAAAAGTAACAAGCACGCCATCCACCAAGCAGTCATAACCTCTAGAAACACCACGTAAATCAGTTTTGTTCCATATTGTTTGACCAACTACCGGTTGAAAATGATGTAAGAAATGTTTATTACTTATCGGGAGTTATTTAGTTTTACAAAAAAGCGACATATATTTACTCACAATTATAGTTTTTTATTTTTTATTAAATATAATTAGTTCATTAACCGTGAGGAGCCATGGTAGCTCACATGGATAGCGCTCGCTGTAAATTTCACAATACGCGAGCAACCCGGGCTCGATTCTCGTCGGCACCAATGAAATTGTTAATTAATTTCAATTTTAAGTGCTGATTTACCACGTGCTCGGCGATGAAGGAAAAATCGTGAGGAAACCTGCATGACTGAGAAATGAATTTTTTTTTAATAATAGAAGAGCAATCATCAATAATAACTAATGAAAACGACAAAACACATAATGAAGAATATTGCGGAGATCTTAATTCTAAACGAAAGAGAAAATCTTAAGGCTAAAAGTCAGATGCCAAAGAAAAGTGGAACAAAAATAAAAACAAGAAACTAAGATTTGAGGGAGAAAAATACATGGGATATCAGCGAGATGGTAAACAAAAAAGTTTAAAGTTCGACATGACGTTATGCGGCCTGCGCGTGAAATGGGATCTCTTCGGACTTCTGTACGAAGTCCAAATTTCGCGGATGCTATACGATAACGAAGGAAGAAAGCCAAGATATTTTTTTAATTTTTTGGAAGCAAACGGACTGGTCGCAGAGGAAGCAGTATGTGGTTTCTAATGTTGAAATTGCAAGTAAAAAATAAAATAAAGAAGACAAACGAATCAAGAAGAAATGTTAGTAAGCAATATTTTTTAATCACGCACTCTGAGTATTAAAGAAAATTCTATGCATTATTGGATTGAGCAATCCGAAAAAGGTATGACAAAAACACAAGAAGTGACACAACTAGCTGAGAAGGGAAGAACAAAAGAAAACGTTAGCTTTCTAAAAAAGTTTTTGATGAAATACCTAAAACTATTGTCGGGCATCAAGTACCAAACTTTATTTAGAACCAGTTGTACAGAGCAAATCGAAATTATACAAGTTGTACTGTGAAAAATGTGAAGTGGTGCCTATCTCTCGATATTTATTAAAATATTAATATCAAATATTCATAGAAAATAATTTAAGTATATTTTTGACAAAGAAAGACCAATTCGATGTGTGTTCTTTCAATGTAGAAAACATCAGTGAAGGTGAATATCGTGAACACATTAAAGAAGTATAGAGCTAGACAAGAAAAAAAAAACAACATAAATTAAGAACCGTTAATAAAGAAGTGCATGTCTTTACACATGATTTACAATCAGTACAGCTGTGTTTTAAACTTGAAGCTAGTTCAATATATTATAAAACGAAACTATGTGTTCACGACTTCACTGTGTGCAATCTTGAAAACAAGTATGTGCACTGTTATTGGTTCGATGAGTGTACTGAAGCAACCCTTCAGTACACTCATCGACCCCTCACTCATGGCCCCTGTAAATGCTTCCTGTATTGTAATAGACTGTCTGAAAAAAACTCTGGCCAAGGAGATGTTGCCTAAAATTTTGTACTGTGATGGCTGCATAGCACAAATTCGCAATGTGGTGTTGTGGTTTGGTGCATTAGGCATTGCTGGAGACTCCACCAGAGTGGACAAGTTATTTTGCTAGTAAATCTTCATGTGTTCAATGGAGTCCGCTGTGACAGAACTCCTTTTTCTCAAAAATGGTAAAATGGTAAATGTGTTTAACGAGATTAATATGCTATAGAAACCTAGCTTTAGAAATAAATTTGTAAAATTAGTATATTGAGAACTCCGTCGAAATAAGGTTTAATAAAGTACAGACCACTGATCGAAATCAATGAGAGGTCTGTACTTCCACAGCGAAGAAATTATCAAAGAACTTTTGGTATCTCCAAAATATTTACAGGAACTTAAAATGGTAATAGATCAGGATTACCATCAGTTTTACAATGCATTACAATTTAATCCGGGTACTTAATGCATAATTTTATAGGTACCTCAGAAAACAATGGTACTTTGTTTGTAACTTTTATTTTATTCTAACTTGTGTTTCAACTGTTACCATGTTCTAATTTGTGTTTTCTGAGAAATATATAATTTTCAATAAAATTAAAAGCTTAAACTTTTATAGGCCTTTTTATTTAAAGCTTTTTATTAAAAGTAATACATAAAGCGCAACCAAAATTCCTTGTGTTAATTAAATTGTCAAAACGTTATAAAAAGCAGGAAATAATGTAACTCTTACCTAAAGTTTTTATTCTAGTTGGTCTCATTATATTTTTTCTGTAGACGGTTTTTAACGATTTTCTCATAAAAATAAAATTGATTTTTACACAAAAGAGGTCTTAAAGTCGCAACGACGATATGGTACCGACCTTGCATCCAAATATATTGAACTGTTTCGGTCTCTTCAAAATTCTTTGGATAGTGACAGGTTCACATTAAGAGAGATACTTTTATTTTAATTAAAAATCCCAAGATTTCTATAGCAACGGGATTATGTCACTACCTACAAGATGGCAACAAGTTATCGAACAAAATGGCACATATATTATACTAAAATTAAATGTAATAAAAGTATAAAAAATGGCTTAAATTTGTGTATAAAATACGAAGAAAATTTTTCCTCGGCCTTATTATATATTTATCGAGCATAAGTTTTTTGCTCTGCCCAATTTATTGCTTTGAATTGAGGTTCCTTTGGTTACTTATTTTAACGAGATTAATATTTAGTTGGATAGATAGATAGATAACACTTTATTGCACGCTATAAGACATTAATAAAACAAAAAAGAAGAGAAAGAAATGTGGTACAACGGGCGGTCTTATCGCTATAATTAGGTACTTTTACAGTTGTAGCAATTTTTTTGGTCTTAATTACCCTAAACTTTTTATAACACCTCTATTTACCCTATGAGATACTCTACAGTAATTAGAAATTAACAAAATATGATACTAGACACATAAAACAGATTCCATGCACCATATGACAAACAGCTACATAAGCAATGTGTAGTTATTCATTTATTCATTTCATTTTCAGTTAGTAATTTATAGTTACATCTTGGTAATAAAAACAATTTGCCTAGTTACGTACGAGAATAAATTAACATTTAACCTTATTTAACTAATGGCATTTCAAGTACTTGAGTACTAATGAAGATCTATAAAAATTATATCATATTTTGAAGGAAAAAAAATTCAATCATTGCAGCACTTCACACTGCTTATCATAGGCTTCCCCCAAGAAATGCTACAATCCACGGACCTGAGCCAAATTATTAACGCCTAAATATTTAATTTACAAAAAATAATTCTATGTGAAAGAGGTCTTAAGAAATATCTTAATATACTTATATGTTATACTAAAAATACACAATGTGTTATAAAGATAATGCTAAAGAACACTAGGATGTGACACATCGGGCTTCTGGTCACCAGATGGAGGAGTAAGTAGACTTGCCAATAAATTGGACATATCCATATTTCTACGGTAAATCTGTAACAAAAAATATATTCAAATTTAGAACAAAAATTGAGTTATTTACATTCGGTCTTACTCATCAAAATTTATGTAAACTTATGGAATGCTTAAAGGGTCTTGCTTATTTGTTGAATATCACTTACATAATAAACTTAAGTAAGCAATATACAATGAATACACGGGTAGTAAGGCCGATTATTATTAATATTTAGTTGAAGGAAATATTTTGAGTAACAATTGCACTCATTTGTATCACAGGAATGATAAAATCACCGTGACCAACATGCTTTTAATTTAGGCTTGTTTAATGTTTTTGAGGACGTCAAAGCTACACTCGTTCGGAAAACATGATCTCCTTAACAAAGAAACTTTAAGGACCTCCGAGGTTTTTTTTAAATGCCAAATTACAATCTCATTTGCATATAATCTACACAGAAAGTTATGCGAAATGAAAAAAAAATTTCTATGGTTAGTTGTAATGAAATGTATACAATAAACGTATGTCACACACTACAAACTGTTTTTAAAAAACTTTCCACCAGCAGCAAAGTTTCGTATATCTGAACCAATTTACGAAATATTTTATAGGTCCGCCTTAGACATTTTACATTTTATATTTTTTCTACGGCCTGTTCGAATGCTGCTAGCGCATTAACACGCCGTTGAGATCTATATACCTTTCAGCAGATTTTTTTTAATTTAGGGGATAAAAAGAAGTCACCGGTGCCAAATCAAGGCTGTAAGGAGGACGTGACTCAACAGCTTAACTAGTGTGCCGTCCAGAAAGTTCCAAGTTTTGAGCTAGTGCGCAAGCCCGATGACACGCGAAGCCCTACGTGCGGTGTATTGTTGCTCACAGCGCTGAGACTTCTAGCAAATATTTGAAAGTTACCATTCGGCACAGAAGCTACTTCTATTTCGTAAAGTAATTGACACCATATACCTTGTCAAAGTCAACAAAACTAGCGATCAAAATCTTCCCTGCTCTTCTCCATTACTTTATTTTGGTAAGCGTCGGTTCATTTTGAAACAGCCAAACCGTCGACTTCGTATCTAGATCGTATTGATTGAGCTATACATAAGCGCAAGCTACGATCCAAGAGAAAGTCTCTTATGACACCAATCCGATGATATTACAGACATAGAACAGAATTAGCAGTATTTTAAAAATGCCAAGGCACATTCACTTCCATAGTGAATGGAATTACAGCAGAGTTACTAAAAGCCGGGGAAAAACTGGTACATGAAATTCTGCAGAACCTGTTCTCTCTCCACTCCATTACTCTGCAAGCGTGGAATAGAAGTGGTCATGTTCTTCAAGAAATAGATGGAGAACCAGCGCCTAAAAAACTGCGGCTAGTTTTTTTTTAGTTCATTACAATGGTTGTATACATAAACATACTACGGTCAGTCAAGCGAAACTGAGAACAAGTAATTCAGGTGCGCTATCAAAGGTCGTTCCTGCCAAAGTAATAAAATGAATTTACTAAGGCTGGAAATTGTTATTCAGCTTGTATATTCCATATAAATGAAAGTTGTGACGGTCAGTCAGCTGAATATGGGGACGGAGCTTGTCAGTCGGCCGCCACGTACTCGTATATGCAAAAACTAAATAATATACAATTCATTTACTACATTTCAAAATGTTTGTAGGGGTATAACCCGTGCGACGCCGGGGCAGATGGCTAGTTGTTACTAAATAAATAAATAAGTTATCTGAAATTCGCTTTATTATAATAGTAGACGAGATACGAACTATTTTTAACAAGTAATTGTTATTTCAAGCAACAAACGAAAAACATACAATTTCTGCGAGGAAAACCTGCAATTTTGCCTGTTTTTTTTTTTTGTAAGGGTCATCTTAAGCCTTTCAACCCAAAAATATTTGAAATACAAAAATAAACAAATAACTACGCTAATTTTCTGTCAATAATTCATTCTTTCACTAATGTGACATGACGTGTGTGACATATTTTTCCCTAAAAATTCAATAAGTATAAAACTATAAAGATATTGAGACTGACCTTCGAGCTAAGAGTATAATATTATTGAATATACAATCTGTAATTCTTTTAATTAAGGACTAGTTGGTATATTCATTAAACACTCAATATTAATTTCAACTTTTTCTTTACCTTCAGATACTTTGAGGGAAATTATAAGTAAAAGTGCAACAAATGAAACAAGGCACTGAAACAGGATTTTTCTAAGGAAGGAAATATTATAAAAGCTCACCGTTGAGTGCTCGTCTGTTCCCGATTGAATTTCATTACTCAGCACATCCTTTAATTGTTCCATTAGCTCCTGAAATAAAAATAGTATTTAAATTAAAATTGTTTTAATGTAAAGAGGAAGTGTGGGCTAGACATTTAAAGAATAGGTTTTTGACATATCTATTTTTTTAGCTTTTGTATTGTGCCTGAACACTCAAAGTAAGTCATCCAAGCAAGACAACTGTGGTTGGATCCGATTATACTTGCGAAACTTTTAGAAATCGTGTTCCTTTGTTTAAGCTTCCAAAAGAGGAACAATGTGAATTTATATTTTAAAGAAGAATTTAAGAGTTTTTGGCTATATCTGTATGTTTTACATGTTCCTTTTTTGTATGCTCAATATACGATAACGGCGGTATAGCTGGGCCATTTTAGTGATTTTAGCAGTTTTATATATATATATATATAAATTATATATATATATATATATATATATATATATATATATATATATATATATGTTATATATATATAAACACTCACGCCTGTCACCCTGAGGGGTAGGCAGAGACTACGGACTTCCATTTGGCACGATCCTGACATACCTCTTTCGCCTCCTTTACATCCATATATCTACGCATACAAGCTCGTCGGTTAAGGGTACTTCTAACGTGGCCCATTTTCATAATATCGCCAATTCGGTCCATAAATTTTTTTCTAGGGCGTCCCTTCCCGACTCGGCCGTTCACATCTGCCATATTAATTTGCTTTGTCACTCTTTCCTCATTCATTCTTTCTACATGACCAAACCACCGAAGCATTCCTTTCTTAATCCTGGTCACAACATCATCTTGCATACCACATTTATCTTCTTCTTCTTCTTTCTTTTGTGGCGGTTTGATAAAATTCGCCAATGACGTATTGAGTAGAAAATTAAAGCTTATGAGTTTAATTAAAATAAGAGTCTGAGATAATACAAGGATTCAGTTTTCCTCCGAGAATTTTGACAAATCTATTTGTTGAATTACCTAGAACAAATATGACAAACACAGGTGTTAGACTCTTACCCGTATGTTAAAAGTGACAAGGATTTAAAGTTTCATATTATTAGTATTAATAAAATCACATAAAATATACACAAAAGGAGTACTGGTATATGTTAAAAGAGAATTAAAATCTATAGGTCGAGGAATATAAGGAGGAAGGTAATCATAAAGGGAGGAGGATAATTTGGGACAGTTGAAAAAAATATGGTTTGTGGAACCTTCATCTAAGCCACATTCACACAATGAGCTATCCCTTACTCTGATTTTTGCCAGATGTGCATGTGTACAGGCGTGTCCAATTCTTAATCTACAAATGATTGAAGTTGCATGTTTATTTGCTTTGTTAAATTTAAAGAACCAAGGCTTGGGAGGAATAACCTCTTGGATGGCAGCATAGTGCTTACCTTTAACTTTTTTGGAAACTTCCCATAATTTATTCCAATTTTCATTCAGTTTCCTTTTAGCTAGCAAAATTAGGTCATGTGAGTAAATTAAATTTTGTAGAATGCCATTAGCAATTGCATTTTTAGCGAGTACATCAGCTGTTTCGTTACCATGGATACCACTGTGGCCTGGAATCCAGGCCACTGAAACATGGATTCCTTTAAGATGGCATCTGAATAGGGTATTTTTTATTTTAAGAATTAGTGGAAACTTATGTTTGTTATGGAATTGATTGGACAAAATAGCTAACAAACAACTTTTTGAATCTGTGAAAATAACTGTTTTATTAAGATTATGTGATTCTACATATAACAAAGCTTCACTGATTGCAGTTGCTTCACCAGTAAAAGTGGAGGATAGTGAGGGGCATTTAAAGTTAAGAATGATTTTGAACTTAGGAATCCAAACAGCAGCTCCAGTATAGTCTTCATCAGAATGTTTTGAAGCGTCTGTGTACATGACAAGCCAATCTTTAAAGGTGTTTTCTATAATTTCTTTTAATTTCAAATTTGCCATTGGAGAATCCTTTTCTATACCTAGATCTAGATGAATGTCGGGTCGGTAAACAATAGCCTCGTAAGGAACATCAAAGAGTGGATTTATTTTGCATTGAAAGATTGGGTAAGGAAGCTGAAGAAAAATTACAAAACTTTTAAACAAGCAGGGAGAGTCCTTATGGGTCCAGTATCGGTCAGATGAGATATACTCTGAAAGAAGGTGCAATTTAGGAATTAGGGGATGATCTGAAAGTTGGCAGATCTTAAATAAGAATCTGTCTGAAAGGTATTGCCTTCTTAATCTTAAAGGAGGATCTACGCACTCAACCTGAAGAACATTTATTGGTGAGGATTTCATCGCCCCTGTAATAATGCGAAGGCATTTCGATTGAATTTTGTCCATTACTTTAAGGGATGATTTATTGCAAGGCTCCAACAGAAAACATCCATAGTCAAGGTGGCTTCGTATTAAAGCATTGTAAAGTAATTTCTGAGAAAAAAGGATGGGACCCCCACCAAACACCTGACAAAGACCGAAGAATATTTATGTTTTTTTCGCATTTTTGTGTTATATATTCAATGTATGGACCGAAGGCCAATTTCGAATCAAGGATAACTCCCAAAAATTTAACATTGCCTCTAACTGGAATAGGTTGCTTATCATATACAACAGATATATCGGGAACTCGCCTTTGGCGGGAAAAGATCACCACACTACTCTTGGCCACAGATAAAGAGAGGCCATGATTAGTTAACCATTCTTGTAAATAATCCATGGATGAGTTTAGACGGGAACATGCCACTGTGAAGTTGTTTGAGGAGATGTATAGAGCTAAATCGTCTGCATATTGAAGAACATTACAAAAAGAATTTACTGAAAGTTCTAAATCGTGAGTATATATAGAATAAAGGAGAGGACTAAGAACTGAGCCTTGTGGAAGTCCTTTCCATATAGTTTTTGGGGGAAGCAGGAGATTTTTAACATTTATAGATATTGATCTAGAAGAGAGAAAGTTAGAGACGTAATTGACTATCCTCACTGGAATGCTCAGATTAAGCATTTTCTGCCTGAGCACAGGAAGAAGCACATTATCATATGCAGAAGAAATATCCAAGAAAACTCCTATGAGAAATTCATGTTTTGAGAAGGCAATATGAATATCTGTGACCAAGGTACTTAGGCTATCCATGGTACTTAAACCTTTTCGGAAACCGAATTGGCTTTTAGGTAAGAGATTATTCCTTTCCAAAAACCACTCCAAGCGATTTTTTATTAAATGTTCCAAGATTTTTGCCAAAGTACAAGATAGGGCAATAGGTCGGTAACTGGAAGGGTCATTACTAGACTTACCTGGTTTGAGAATGGGCAAAATAATTTGGGTTTTCCATTCAGCAGGAGGATCACCAGTAATATAAATAAAATTTAAAATGGATAGTAAGACAGTTTTAGTGTTCTCACTACTATTAATTATAAACGAATAAGGAATCCCATCAATACCTGGTGAGGAGTCTTTAAGGCCATTGAGTACAGTAAACAATTCCTGAGAAGAAAAGGGGGAATCAAATTTATCATTTGTTTTTAAAAAAGCAGAATTAAAAACTAGGCATTCATCATAAGATGGGACTGTTTGTGGTGCAAGTTTATTAGAGAATTCATCTATCCACGGGGAAGGATCATTAGAAATTATATTTTCACTAGAAACTGCACAGCGATATTTTTTAACATTTCTCCAGACCAAAGATGGGGGAGTCCTAGGTGACAGTGACTCACAGAATTTAAACCAACCAGTTCGCTTTTTGTCTGACAGTAATTTTAAGGTTTCTGCAGCAATTTTTTTATAAGAGATATAATTCTCTGCAGTCATAGAACGGGAGTATATTAATTCAGCCTCTTTTCTTCTCCTACAAGCTGCTGAACAATCTTGGTCCCACCAAGGAGGGGAGGGATAATTATTTTTGAAAGGTTTTTTTTAAGGGGATTGACTTATTAGCAGCAGAAATAATTGCATTTCTGAACTCTATATATACAGTAGCAATATTATCATTGTTAATTGGGGGAAGAGTTGAAACCTCTTGTTCCAAGACTTTAGAATATAATTGCCAATTAGCTTTGGATAGATTATACTTTAGTCTTGGGCAAAATGTAAAATTTATTCTAGGTGAAGTAGGAGGAGTGATGAATATAGGAAAATGGTCACTGCCATAGCTAGAAGGTAATATTTGCCACAAAAGAAGGGAAGCAATATCTGGAGAGCAGAGAGTTAGGTCAACGGCACTTCTAACATTTTGTAATGGGGATACTCGACGGGTAGGAGACCCATCATTTAGAATACAGAGATTAAAATTATCAATAAGATCTAAAAATAAGGGAGCCAGTGAATCACACAGATGGGAGCCCCAAACAGTATGATGCATGTTAAAATCTCCCAAAATAACTATAGGAGGTGACAGAGAAGAGATAAGTGTTGCAAGTTCTGTTAAAACATTTACATCAGGATTAGGAATGTAAACAGAGAGAATAGAAACATCAAGGGCCTTAATAGCAACAGCATTTACTGCTGGACTATGAGAAGGGAGAGGAATTTGTGAAAATGTAACAGTTCTTGAAATTAAAATAGAGGTGCCAGCACGACCATCACTCCTATCATCCCGGAGGCATGCATAGCCTGAAACCCTAAAATGAGATTCAGGCCTAAGCCATGTCTCCTGGATGGCAAGAATGAAGGGATGAAATTTGTTAATGAGGTAAATGAGTTCATTTTTTTTATTTCTAATACTCCGACAATTCCATTGAAGAATTGGCGGGACTGCGAATGTTACGGGCTAAGGAGGAAAGCTGAGTAAGTTTTTGGTGTAAGCTGAGAGGAAGTTCCGTGTCACTAAAACGGGAGATCATGTTAATTAGAATTGATATCATAAGTTCGCAGAAATTATCATTACTAGAGGAGTTGTTGTCATTTCCCAGTAGAGCACACCCATTAGGAAGGGAAGAATTAGGATTCTCAACAATTGCTTGATGGGCTGCCATATCATATCCAGAATTTAATGGTGGGCTGCGGGTACGTTGAGGGATAAAAATTGTTTTTTTTATATGATGCAGTTTGTGAGAGCTGAGCCGAAGGGGTTGAAAGACTGTCAGTTATAGTATAAGGGGTCTGTTGAGAACAATTACGAGGCTGGATTCTTGTTGTATCAGCAAAGGATCTTTTTGTCTGAGGGAATCTAGCTGAAGCTTCTAAATATGAAATATTTTCTTGTGACATAACAAGTTTAATAGATTTTTGCCTTAGATGTTCAGGACATGTAGGGTCTTTTGCGGTGTGGGAACCAGAGCAGAATAGGCAAGTAGGAGTTTGTCGAGTACAAGATAAACCTTCATGATTCTGTGCACATACAAAGCAGCGAGGAGATGATCGGCACTGGGAAGTAACATGGCCATATCTACAGCATTTATGACACTGAATTAGTGGCAAAACATATTTTTCCACTGGCATTGAGGTGTAAAAACAGTAAATATGGGGAGGAAGTTTTTGTCCAGAAAAAGTTAGAACAACCGTCTGAGTTGGAACCCATGAAATGCTATTGCTGTCACTCACTGATCGTCTATTAAGTCGCCGTGCTTTAATTATAGAACCGTATCCAGAGGGAATTTCTATAGCTGCTATTAATTCTTCTAGTGTCCACTCTATGGGAACTTGTCTAACTAGCCCCATACGAGTGATACTATATGAGGGGATGGTTGCTTCATATTTAGAAATTTGGAGAGCTGGGTGATCGATAAAGGTGTTTGCATCTGCAGCTGATTTAAACTCCACGGATATTCTATTTCGTCCAACTTTTTTGACTCCATCATGGACTATATTTTTAATATTGTTATGATACAGAAAGTGGCCGAATTTAATTGGTTTAAGAGTTACTCCAGACAGCTGATCATTTGAGATTTTACTTACGTGAACTAGAAAAGGAGCGGCATCATCTTGAGAGTACTTAACTTTTTTATTAATAAAATCAGGATGGGTATATGAGGATTGTATTGAAGGAAACTGTTGATTTGGATCAGTAATAACTATTTTTTGTGGATGGGCAGACTCGTTACTTACTTGGGCACGTTTACGTTTAATTAATTCTACATTATCAATGTTAGTGGGTAAGGAAAAGGAATCATTGCGAACCCTTCCGGGATCGGGAGGTTCGTCCTCCATTATATTACTACAACAAAAAATTACATAAAAACGGCACAACTACAAACACTTACTAATTTACAGATATTAAAACCTCCACCAAGACAGAAAAAATTTACTATGGTAAATCAACAACACTTAATAAAACAATAAATTTTAAGCAAAAAAGGCACGACACTTGTATCTCTCACTTCCTCCGAAATACCTCGCACATTTATCTCTTATCACGCAATTTCTCACCCTGTCATACAAATTCAACGCTAGTATATTCCTTAATGACCGCATTTCTACAGCATTTATTCTACTTTCGTGCTTCTTCTGCCACACCCAGCTTTCACTACCATACATTAAAGTAGGGACTAACACAGCATTATGAAATAACATACGTGCCTTTTTTGACACATTCTGGTTCTTCATAATAGAGTGTAATGCCCCATTCACTCTATTCCCTGCATTTACTTGTCGTTCTATGTCATATCTACCATCCCACATCCTAAATACACATCCCAAATACAGAAACTCATCCACTTGCTCAATTAACTCTCCTTCTATTCTTATTTCACATACCGTTTTGCTTTCTTCTCTTTCAAAAACCATCACTTTCGCCTTACTTGCGTTCACTTTCATTCCCCTTTCTTTTAATTCCCAGTTCATTAATGTAACCATCATTTGCAACTCAGCCGCCAATGACGCAAATATGACTTGATCATCGGCATACAGAAGGCATTTGACGGTTAACTCGCCCATTCTTAACCCACATTCTTCATCTTTCAAAGTTTGCAAACACCTGTCCATAAATAGGTTGAACAGCCAAGGGGAAGCTGCACAACCCTGTCTGACACCTTTTCGGATGCCAAACCAGTCCGAGTAGACCCCATTGATCCTGACACAAGCACTAAATGCCTGTATCAAACCAGCGCTCAACCCATATGAGTTCAGTGTTTGCCATAACACATTCCTGTCCACTCTGTCATCAGCCTTTTCCAAGTCCATGAACGCACAAAAAACTTTCTGGTTTTTGGCCAAAAACTTCACCGCAATCACGCGCATGGAAAAGACTTGTACTGTACACCCCATTCCCTTTCTAAAACCCGCTTGCACATCCCAAGTTTTTCCATCAGTTTCTTTCATAACTCTTTCAATTAACACCTTAGCATACAGTTTACCCACAATACTAAGCAAGCTGATACCACGGTAGTTTTATAGTTTTTATAATAATTAATTTATGGAAAAACTCTATCGTAAAAACATTTTCTCTATTGTCATTAAATAATTAATCAGGTAGAAAACAAGGTAAAAGGATGTATGGTGTAAACACCGCCCGGATATATCCTTTATACACTTCATTTAATAATTACCTTATGTCTGTCGCCACCGCTGGAAACGTTTGCAGGAATCTAAAAAAAAATATAAAATATAAATAAGTAAGCATGTTGGTGTAGTATTACGAAGGATTTATTAAAGATCTAAATATAAATATAACTAGCATATCATCACCATCATACATCATTAAAACCCTGAGTCAATTCCATTGCTGAACATAAGTCTCCTGAGCCACCTACATTCATCTACTTTCTTCATCACTTCCCAGGTTGCCACCCCTCCATTGAAGGGAAGCTTAGGTGGTACTCCGGTCTTTTTTTATAGGAGAGGGGGCAAACGAGCATACGGCTCACCTGATGGTAAGTGATTACCGACGCTCATGAACAACTGCAACACCAGGGGAATTGCAGGTGCGTTGCCGGCCTTTTGAAAAGGAGTAGGCTCTTTTCTTGAAGGTCCCTAAGTCGTATCGGTCCGAAAAAATCTCTGGTGATAGTTGATTCCACAAGGAAGTTGCGGGAGGAAGAAAACTTCTTTTAAATTGCACAGTGGTGGATGAGCGCCACTCATCCAGATGGTATGGATGGTATCGCGAGTTTTGTCGCGATGTGCGATGGTGAAATTGTGCGGCTGAAATTAGTCCGAACAATTCTTTAAAGCACACTCCCCGTGGTAGATGCGATAAAATACGCAAAGAGGTGCAACATCTCTTCGCAGTGCCAGTGAGTCAAGCCGATAGGAAAGAGTTCGGTCGCCGACGATTCGAACTGCTCTGCGCTGGATGCGATCAAATGGTAGGAGCTGGCGTTGGGGAGCCCCGGCCCAGATGGGAGCAGTATTCCATGTGCGCCCGAACCTGCGCCTTGTAAAGTTGCAGGCGGTGTGCAGGCATGAAATACTGTCCCGCTCTGCTGAGTACGCCAAGCTTTTTAGAGGCAAATTTGGCCTTCTCTTCCAAGTGGCCACGAAACTGCACGTCATTCGATATGTCGACGCCGAGGATTCCGATACTGGCTGAGGCAACAAGGGGAGTGTCTTGAAACGACCTTGATACTCCGATCAGCAAGAAAACTGGTGATCCAATTGCACAAATGTCTAAACTGTCTAAACTCCGCCCATTTATGAGTTAGGTAACCCAGAAGATCACCAGCCGAGCGACCGCCACGGAAACCGTACTGGCGGTACTAATCAGCTGGTGATCCTCAAGGTACCGCATGAGCTGGCTGTAAATAACGGATTCCATTATTTTAGAGAACAAGGAGGTGATGGTGAGGCCCATCATTTGTGTTTGAGCTATAATAAGCTTTTTAAATTTTTACAGCAAATTCTGAAGAACCTTTATATTATATATATTTTCATTACTCCTATTTTCATTGCTGCCAATCAAAAATCCAGCAGAGCATAGGCCTCACAAAAATAGCCTTATATGGGAGATATTTCCTATAGTTGCCACACTTATGATAAATCATAAATTTTTATTTGCAAGAATCACAGTATAAAAAGATCTTACAATTTATCTAGTGCAATCGTGTTTCGCTAACAATGGTAAATAGCGTGCAAATAAATAAACAACAATATTAATTAATTACAATCTACAAAATCTTTTACGTCATAATAACATTCGGTTTTTAATCAATTAAACAAATGTTTCTTAAATAATCTTTCGCTTAATAATTTAAATTCATTAGGTAGTTTGTTAAATAATTTTATACACATATTTACGCAACTTTTGTTGTATTTAACGAGTCTAGGAATAACATCTAGAACTAGTTTTTCTGGGTCACGTCAGTTTCGGGTATATATATCACGAACTTTATTAAACAGTGACTTATTTTTAAAGACAAACATACCAACTTCATAAATGTATAGTGACTGGAGGGGTAAATATACCAAGTCTCTTAAATACTGGTTTACACTACACATTGCATGAATACATTTTTTTTTTGGGCAACGAATGCCCTATTGAGGTCAGTACTATTATAATTCCATAGCGTAGAATAGACTCATACGTATGCGTAGAGCGTAGCGTAGAGTCTATTTTACGCTATTCAGTTTCAATTGCCGTTTTAATACTGTTTTAAACGAGTTTTAGGGCATATACAAATTTAGTGATTCTACTGTATACATTATCTATTTGTTCTTTCCAGTTTATATCTTCATCTAACGTTACTCCCAAAAATTTTATACATTTTTAGTTTAGGTATATTAAGTTTAATATTATGATATGAATTGATAGATTTATTAAATTGTGTGTAATGATATTTATCTAAATTAATTTTCAAATTATTTACGTCAAGCCATTCTATTAATTTGTCAATTGTATTATTAATGTCATCTTCATGATTCCTAATTGTATTATTATTTTTATTACTAGTCACAATAATTGAAATGTCATCATCGTACAGAATACATGTATGATTCGTAATGTCAACAATATCATTAATATATAATAGGAAAAGAATCGGTCCTAATATACTTCCTTGCGGAACGCCAAATTTATTATATTTATATCCAGATGAATAAGATGTTAACTTATTGTTTTTATCTATTTTATCAATGATAACACATTGTTGTCTGCCTTTTAAATATGACGATAACCACTGAAGTACTAGTCCTCTGATCCCAATTGTCTCTAATTTTTGCAATATGTCATGTGAAATGCAATCAAAGGCCTTTGAGAGGTCAAAGAATAATCCTGTTGTCAACTGTCTGTTTATGTTACTAAGTATTATTCTTACTAACGAAAACATGGCAAGTGAGATTGATATGTATTTTTGAAACCCGTATTGTCCACTTTTAATTATTTGGTATTTATCACAGTAATCAACTATTCTTTTATACATACATTTTTCAAAGATTTTAGCCAGAATAGGTATTAAGATGATTGGACGATAAATTTGAACATCATCCTTTCGCCCTTTTTTAAATAAAGGTTTTCATGATCATCGTCATCATTACAGCCCTTCACAAGTCCACTGCTGAACATAGGCCTCCCCCAAGTAACGCCACAAAGCACGGTCTTGAGCCACCTGCATCCATCGACTTCCTGCATGTCTTACCAGGTCGTCACTCCATCTAGTGGGGGGTCGCCATACACTACGCCTACCGGTACGAGGCTGCCACTCGAGAACCTTTCTTCCCCATCGGTTATCGTTTCTTCGAGCTATATGGCCGGCCCATTGCCACTTCAGCTTACTAATCCGTTCGGCTATGTCGGTCACTCTGGTTCTACTGCGGATATCCTCATTTCTGAGTCTATCACGCAGAGAAACTCCGAGCATAGCCCTCTCCATAGCTCGCTGAGCGACCTTGAGCGTCCTCATACGGCCAGCGGTGAAGGACCACGTCTCTGATCCGTAAGTCATCACAGTTTTATAATTGACAATTTTAGTGCTTCTGGGAATTTTGCTGATAAGAATGATATATTTATAAGATGTGTAAAAATTTTAGTTAAATTATCAGCGCATGATTTTAAAAATTTCGTGTTAATTTCGTCATATCCCTCTGAATTGGTATTGTTTAATGATAGTGGTTCTATTTTAACTTCATTTTCTGTCATTGGTCTTAAATACATCGAATTCACTCTTGAATTTCTACTTAAACCATATATTTATTTAAATTTTGTGTTGGGTATGATTTGTGGCCGTATCTATAAAATAATTATGGAAAGCAGTAGCTATTTCTATAGGATTAGATAACAGGTTCTTTCCAATTTTAATATGTAGTATCTATATTATCCTTAACTTTCTAATGATTGCATTTGTTATTACTATTATTCATATATTTAATATTATCAATTTTTTTGGATTTATAACTACATTTCTTTAAAATGTTAAAATAGGAATGTTTAAGTAGTTAACTTTGAAAAACATTTATATTAGTTAGTAAATTATTTTAAAAACATAGAACATACAATATTTTACCTTTGCTTTTAATATTGTGGTCATAATAGACATGACTTTTGCGATCTTTTCGTCCACTTCAAGAATCTTTTTAGAGAGTTCAACACTTGAATGTTTGACACAGTCGAGTCTATCCTGGTTATATACTAATCTGAAAAGCAATACAACGAATCATTTACATAAAGTAGTCAGGCCTGTATCTTATGTAAAATAATCACACGAAAAGAAATGTAGGAAATGGAATAAAAATTAATCTTTAAAACAATGTTTCATATAAGAATCGCCGCGATAATTATATTAGATAGAGTTGTCAATAATTATTAAAGGTAAACAATGTGTATTTTGTAATTTCAACTGTAAGCTAATACAACCCTGCAATACTTTTAAAATTAAGAATTATATATATTATTAAATAAATAGCATATAAATACAGCATACTGCTGTATTTCGTATAGTGATGGTGAGGGCAGAGAACCGGAGACCCTTTTTATTTGAATTGAGGCATTCCATCTTATTTCTTAGGGGTGACAACGCATCTGCATTTTGATTCTCAATCAAGTATTTATGTAAATATCTATGGATTACAGCATCCACTTCACATCAGATGGACTGTGTGCTCGTTTGTCACCCTTATTCTATAAAACATCGCTACAGCAAGAATGGGTCACCTCGACCGAAGTAGAACCTTGTATAGAATACGAGCGTGAAATAACAGCATAATGCTGCTGTGTTTAGTATGGTTGGTGACGAGGACTGTAAACCTTATTACTGGTAATAATAAATTCCATTTTAGTCCCCAGGAGTGACAACTCATCTGCATTTTGATTCTTAATTGAGGATGTTGCCTATGGCCACAGCATCCACTTACAATCAGGTGGGAGGTATACTTGCTTGTTAACCTTACTGCACAAAAATAAATTAATCATTACAAGAATCAAGTTGTTTAAATTAATCATAGTAATGATGAAGTAAAATTATTCAAAATGAAAATAATTGAAAGAAAATTAAAATAATTTATTATTTTTAATGGCTCACATTGCGCTACTTTACGTTTCTTGGCACAAGTTAAATGTTCATAGGAAAAATAATAAATGGACACAGAAATGCCCTTTTTCACCGAAGCCAGCTGCAACGGCTTTCAATGAATTTAATATTTTTAATGATTAAAACTATATCTTATTTTAATTTCGCCAAATTTAAATGAGCTTGCTAAGTTTGCGCGAGTGGCTTCGCAATACACGATTTTATAGTCGGAGAAGGGAGATATGCGGGACAGTGGGGAAACTCATCGATAGTTGCGTTCGCACTTAAGCATTTATGCGTTTATTTTTACACACACGCTTAATAGCATCATGGTACGATTGCACATGTTATGGATTCCTTTTGTATAGATTAATGTTTAGTTTTTTGATAATATTATTCATAATTATTTTATTTAGTCTATATACTTTGGACAGGATGAAAAGGCTAAAACAAAAGTTGTGCATAGACAGACGAACTGTCTACATAATGTAGACATTCGTAGTGTGAATATCTACACCATGCGACGACGTGTCCCGAATTTGTGGAAGTCGTATTATTCTAATGTTAATAATTTTTAAATTTATATAAAAACGTTACCCGTACCCAATGTCTATGTTGTATCATGGAGGTGTTTTATTAATAGATTCGATAAGTAGCCAGAACCGAAGTAATCATGCTTTTAGGCTATGTAAACACTTGTTCAGTGGGGGAATTCGGGGTCTACAGCTCGACAACCAAATGTTCAGGAGTGGCTGAACATTAGGTTAATACCAGAATAGACACCCTTAATGTTCATGAAATTATAATTTTACTTACCTTATAGTATAAAAGCTAATTTTTATATATAAAACTTAGGTAAGAAGTAAATAATATAAACTCATTAGCCATATTTTTTTGATAGTTCCAACCCCTTGCCAGACAAGCATGTAGGGTAGCTGTAATATATAAAAATCAGCTTTTATACTATAAAGTAAGTAAAATTAAGTAAAAAAAAATTAATTGGCAAGAGATTGCCACGATGTTAAGTGTCTGCCAATGAATAACGTGATTTTTAATAATATTCTGAAGGTTATAACAAAAAATCGCAGTTTGTTATTTGATGAATTTAGATCGGTATTTTACACAACTTTACTACCGTTGTTTACCTGCCAAACCCACTGTAACCCAAACTACAGAATGGTCCATCGTTCTTACCTGTGTTGTGACCATGCGCTAACAAACTTTCAGCTTTTATAAGATAACAAAGGTCTGGGGGTTCACGGGCTCTTAGACTATTAAATCCCAGAGAGTATGTATGTATGGTAAACTTAGAAAAAAAATTAGGAAAAGAAATCCTGCCCTCTCTTATTTAAGAGATCTTAAAAATGCTTTGCGGAAAGAATGGAACGCAATCTCTTAAGATTTTACTGGTAATTTAATTAGGAGTATGCCAAAGAGACTGAAAGCAGTTCGAAGAGTTAAAGGAGGCAATACTAAGTACGGATTTTAGCCCACGTCATAGCCTTTCTTGAGTATTTAAGAAGAGAATGAATAACATGTTAAGTAAGTACAAAAATCTTTCTTTGTTGTGAAATTTTTCTTTATTTTTTCTTAATTTGGTTAATTTTTCTCATTTGATCGTTTGCTTTTTCGACGTTTGCAAATAAACATGACTGTCTCAAATATCCACGATATTTTGTTTTGTACACAATTTTTTTGCGTTTCTCTAAATTTGTCCACGAGGGTATAATGCATATTTATTTGTCCATTAACTAATTCCAACAACAATTACTGTGTATTGTTTTAGTTGAGTGTACTTGCGCAAGCTCACACAGCTAACTTCTCTCGAGGCGCATATAAGTTTGGCGAACCTTATTATTAATTCCATTTTCTAAGAAGTACCTTACTGAGGCGCTAGCTTTGAAATTAAAAAAGAAAACTGTTTTACACTGTACATAAAATGAGATGAAGGTACACACGCTCAGCGGACTACATTTGTATTAATAAATGTATAATTGGGTTTGATGTCTTCGACTATGAGCTGCGTTATGTTGAAAACAGTATGTGACGCGGGAAATGCAAACTTTCAGATGTATAATTAAAATACAAAGTAACTAATAAGCAAGAGCAAATATCCAACCTGAATTCCGTGACTTCACAATTTTTGCATTTTTTTTGTCCACTGGCCTCCAGAACTCGCGCCGCACGGCCTACTGCAGAAAAAACCAACAATATTGCTATAATGGCAACGCTCAGCTGATATTAAACTTTTTCTTAATACTACGAGTAAAACTTTAATCACAAATGCTTGTTGAATTATTGATGTTTTCCTAATTTTAAAATACTGAATGTCCTACTGGTTCAAAAACCGCAACAGCAAATTCAATAAGCGTTTTTATTTCGTTATTTATTTACTATTACATGACATAAACCCTTATTTTAAAATTAATGGTCTTCTTCTATTTTTATAATCAATAAATAACATTTTTTTACGGTATAAAACTTGCAAACTAAACGAGATTTGAGGCTACGAGGTTTCAAAAATTTTCGTTAGCTTCCACCTGTCTGAATAATTTTTTGCATTTTATTGCAACTAGATCAAATACAATACTAAGTAGAAGACATTTCGCAAAATTTGCTACATACATACACAAATAATGAAAATAGTACAGAAAAATAATAAAATATAAGTAAAAAAATAACATACTTTGCGCCCAATCACGCTTTAAGGGTGATGATCTGGCAATGTTTATACATGACCGAAAACTTTCATCATCATTCGACCTCTCTGTAGCTGCAACGCTTATAATCGACGATGGCCTTACGACACTGAAAAATAATTTTAACGTTATTGTAATGTAATAAAGAAGATTTTTTGGAAACATTTTTTTTGTCGTCAATACATGCCTTGCATTCGCTGGCGGCACAGGAGGTGGTGGATTATCAAACGTTAGCGGAGTCTCTGGAAACATATAACAAATATTTTAAAATTATCCAACAAAACAGACTGTGTTAAATAAGGAAAAAGTGCCTTACATTGTTAACTTTAGATAGGAACCTCGATAAAATTAACATATTATATGGGATCGTGAAAGTATGCAAAAGTATCAAGGACTGAAATTTTCTACTCATGCCAAATAAAATTAAATGATGATGTAGTCCAGGGAGTCTGCAGGTGACAACTTTTAAAAATGAAAACAGGTTTAGGGCCGCAGTAAACATTTATACATTGTTACAGCTACCAGCTCTCCAAAATTCTTCTTTAAAACAATGTTTCATATAAGAATCGCCGCGATTAATTATATAAGATACAGTTGACATTAATTATTAAAAGTAAACAATGTGTAGTTTGCAATTTCAACTGTAAGCAAATACATACCTGACTTTTAAGGTTAAGAATTATAAATATATAATAAATAAATAGCAGCTTAATATTGTTGACCTGGAGACCCTTTTTATTGGAATCGAGGCGGTCCATCTTAATCCTCAGACGTGACAATGCAGCTACATTTTGATTCTCAACCAAGGATTGATGTAGATATTTATGGATCACAGCATTCATTTACCATCAGATGGACTGTGTGCTCGTTTGTCACCCTTATTCTATAAAACCTGGCTGCAGCAAGAATGGGTCATTTTGACCGGGGTAGAACCTTGCATAGAATACCAGCGTAAAACAACAGCATAATGCTGCTGTGTTTAGTATGGTTGGTGACAAGGACTGTAAACCTTATTACTGGTAATAATAAATTCCACGTTAGTCCCTAGAAGTGACAACTCATCTGCATTTTGATTCTTAATTGAGGATGTTGTCTACGGCCACAGCATCCATTTACAATCAGGTGGGCGGATTACTTGCTTGTCAACCCTACTGCACAGGCAAGTTTCTTGGCACAAGTTAAATGTTCATATTAAAAACAATAAATGGACACAGAAATACCCTTATTCTTATGGCTTTCAATGAATTTTGTATTTTTAATGATTAAAACTATATCTTATTTTAATTTCGATAAATTTAAGTACGCTTACTAAGTTTTCGCGAGTGGCTGCGCAATACACGATTTTATAGAGGCGGAGAAGGGAGATATGCGGGACAGTGGGGAAAGTTATCAATAGTTGCATTCGCACTTAAGCATTTTTGCATTTATTTTTACATTCACGTTCAATAGCATCATGGTATGATTGCATATGTTATAGATTCCTTTTGTATAGATTGGTGTTTAGTTTTATGATATTATTCATAATTATTGTATTTTGTCTATATACTTTGGACAGGATGAAAACCATGGAGTGTAGAGGTAAGAAGAACAGTCGCTGAATTAAAAAATGTCCGTAGAAAAGCATTAAAAAAGGATGGCGAAACTGTAGCTAGAGGGTAACTTTTATAACTTTTTATTGCACAAACTTTCAACATAATTCTTTTTATAAAAATTATAGGTTTAAAATTTTTTTATTTCTAAAATTACTCAACGTGTTTTACGACTTTTTCCAGGTTATATTTACTAAATTATTCTAAACAAAGTGAGTAGTTGAGGTTTTAAATACTGCAGTTTCATCAACTACTCTAGTCACCACAAATATTAACCCTTCAAGCGCCATAAAAATCCCATGCAGTTGCATGCGCCCGGCAAATCCTGAGCGGTCCGCTCACGTCGCATGCGACCGCTCGAGGTTTGCCGGATAGATAGAGATAGATTTGACGGAATATGGCCGCCGTCTCATGCGACCGCTAGGGGGTTGAGAGGTTAAATTTCTCAACTCAGCACACTTCACTCCGTCGACAACTGCTAAGTTAATTTTATACCCTCTAGCTACTCTAGCGCTGTTGTGGAGTTTTTAAACTGTTATTTATTGCTTACAGATGGACACTTTTTCAACTATTCTCTCTATGTGAGACAGTTCTCCTTACACTCCATGATGAAAACGCCAAAAGCAAAAGTTGTGCGCAGACAGATGAATGTCAAATTCAGGCTCTGATAGTTCTAAGACAGTATTATTCTAATTCCAGGTACACGATGCGACGACGTGTCCTGATTTTGTGGAAGTCGTATTATTTTAATGTTGATTATTTTTAAATTTATATAAAAACGTTAACATTCCCAATGTCTATGTTGTATCATGTAGGTGTTTTATTAATAGATTCGATAAGAAGCCAGAACCGACACTTGTTTAGTGGGGGAATTCAGGATCTGCAGCGCCACAACCAAACGTTCAGCCAATGCTATATTCATTCATTCACTAGTGCTACTTCAGCTTACTGATCAGTTGGTATACGCCGGTTACTCTGGTTCTACTGCAGAATCTGTATTGATTCAGGAGATTTAGGAACGTGCTTAGTGGCATTTCATAAGGGCCTATGTTCAACAGTGGGTTTTTTATGGGATGATGATGATTATATGACTTAGATGAAATGACTTTATCTTTTACTTCTTATCTTTACTTAATTTTATCCCAAAAATTTACTCATGGAAAAATTTATAGGAACGCAAAAAGAAAAGTTTCATTTCGGAGTTAGAAAAAGACTGAACACTTGCCTGCCAGAGGCCCCCGTTTTGCCACATGTCATCGAATAGCTCAAGTTACGAAAACTAGAATGACGAAGCTTAGTATCAAGTTCTATTCACAGAGATGACTGATTTTTCTTGAAGTCAGATGATGGAGGGATTAAAGTGTAGAGACGCCCGGGAGAGCGGTAAAAAAGTCAGTGCAACATCATTCGAAAAGAGGCAAATGGTGGAAGGACAGTTACAGGGGACTACGAATCATTGAGAATGGGTTACCAGCAAAGGCACAATATGTAACAGAAATTTGGAAAAAATTGTAGCGTCCATTTCCCCTTTTATAGGTGATAGGTTTGTTTTTATGCATGGTAATGCATGCCACCATACCGCGGCCATAGTTGTTGAATACCTTCAACACGTTGAAACATGATATGAGGTTTTAGTCGGGCCAGCACGCTCATCCGACTTAAATCCCATAGAGTATGTATGGGATAAGCTTGGGAATTAAGAAAAAAAATCCTGCCCTCTCTATTTTGAGAGATTTTAAAAACGCTTTACGGAAAGAATGGAACGCATTCTCTCAAGATTTTATTGACAAATTGATTAGGAGTATGCCAAAGAGACTGGAAGCAGTTCAAAGAATTAGAGGGGGCAACACTAAGTACTAATTTTAGCCCACGTTATAGCCTTTCTTGAGTATTTATGAAGAGAATGAACAACATGTTAAGTACAAAAATCTTTCTTTTTTGTGAAATTTTGCTATATTTTTTTCTTAATTCGGTAAATTTTTCTCATTTGATCATTTGTTTTTTCGACGTTTGCAATTTTAGATTTACGAATCATAAACAAAATCCAAATTAATAAATTGGATTGACACAAATATCCATGATATTTTGTTTTATACTTTTTTTTTGCGTTTCTCTAAATTTGTCCATAAGTATATAATGCATATTCATTTATCTATTGACTAATTCCAACAACAGTTACTGTGTATTGTTTTAGTTGAGTGTACTTGCGCAAGCTCACACAGCTAACTTCTCTCGAGGCGCATATAAGTTTGGCGAACCTAATTTTTAATTCCATTTTCTATGAAGAACCTTATTGAGGCGCTAGCTTTGAAATTAAAAAGAGAACAGTTTACAATGTACATAAATTGAGATAAAGGTACACACGCTCAGCGGAGTACATTTGTATTAATAAATGTACAATTGGGTTTGATGTCTTTGACTATGAACTACGTTATGTTGAAAACAGTCAGTGACGCGGGAAATGCAAACCTTCAAATGTATAATTAAAATACAAAGTAACTAATAAGCAAGAGCAAATATCCAACCTGAACTCCATGACTTCACAATTTTTGCCTTTTTATGGTACATGTCCACTGGCCTCCAGAACTCGCGCCGCACAGCCTACTGCAGGAAAAACCAACAATATTGCTATAATGGCAACGCTCAGCTTATATTATACAACTTTTTTCTTATTACATATACAAGTACAAATTTTATTACACTTGTTAAATTATTGACGTGTTTTCTTATTGTTTTCCTAATTTTATAACACTGAATGTCCTACTGGTTCAAAAACGCAACAGCAAATTCAATAAGTATTTTTCTTACGTTATTTATTATCATTAAAATGAACCATTATTTTAAAGTTAATATTTTCTATTTTTATAATCAATAAATCACAATTTTTTACGGTAAAAAACGAGATTCGAGGCCACGATCTTTCACAAATTTTCAGTGGCTTCCATCTGTCAGAAATATTTCTTTGCAGTTTTTGCAACTAGATCAGATAGATAGATATATAACATTTTATTGCACGCCAAAAACATAAAAATTAACAAAAAAAAGAAGAGAAGAAAAAGAACAAAAAAAGGAAGAAATGTGGTACAATGGGCGGTCTTGTCGCTAAGAGCGATCTCTTCTAGACAACCTTTGTAAATACAAAGTACAAGAAATTTCGCAAATTTGCAACATAAATACACAAATAACGGAAAGAATACAGTAAATGTAATAAAATAAGTGAAAAATAACACATACTCTGCGTCCAATCACGTTTTAAAGATGATGATCTGGCAATGTTTACACATGACCGAAAACTTTGATCATCATTCGACCTCTCTGTAGTTGCAACGCCTATAATCGACGATGGTCTTACGACACTGAAAAATAATTTTGATGTTATTATAATATAATAAAGAAGATTTTTTGAAATTTTTTTGTCGTCAATACATGCCTTGCAGTCGGTGGCGGCACAGGCGGTGGTGGATTATCAAAAGTTAGCGGAGCCTCTGAAAACATATACCAAATATTTTTAAATTATCAAACAAAGCAGACTGGATCAAATAAGGATAGAGTGCCTTACATTGTTAACTTTAAATAGATAAAATTAAATGATGATGTAGTCCAGGGAATCTGCAGGCGATAAACTTATAAAAATGAAAAAAGGTTTAGCGCCGCAGTAAACATTTATAGATTGTTACAGCTACCAGCTCTTTAACTACTAATAATGAATGTTCAGTTGTGCCTATTACCTATTAGTATGTAACATCATCATCGACACCTATCAAACTGATTCCTGTACTAAAGTCTGTCACTTTATAAGCATAATAAAGTGTAAAGCATAATAGCAGTTAAATTTTAATTGTAAATGGAACCCTAAATAGAAATAATAGAAGTAAAATATAAAGAAATCAATTTAGTGGAAGCCAAAAAACTACAGTTGACCCGAGTTCACCCGACAAACGTTTTGCAAGGCAGTGTCGCATTATGAAATATGTCGGACTACAGAGTACTGCCAGTAGTTTTTGAAGAGGAGTATCTTGTAATCCGACAAATTATAATAATGTCCTCTAAACCAAACCTCGGTCACGGCGGTCTGCCTCAACGGAGACTAGCTATCGGCGCAAGACAGGATTATAGTACACAAATTCATATCCTAGCACAGGTGCACTCTATATTCCTTCACTCTCTTAATCCGATGGGACGGTAAAGCGACACGACCGGAAAGGCGTCAGGCGCAGGACCAAAAACCGTAACTGCTTTACTAGCCACAGGGTCGAACTGAAAAAAATGAGTTTTAATAGAGCGATTCGTCGTCGCTCTAGCTTGCGTGGGTTTTTTACGGGGCTTTCGAGAAGGCGATCGCTCTCTTTCTAACTTATGGCAAAATATTCTATAATGAAATATAACTATGATTGTATATATAGCAATTAGTATAGAGAGTTAAAGCCAGGCTTTAGGAATACGGAGACGCGCGGGCAATAAGTTTACAAGTTCATTTCACATTTCAATGTTTATTTACTCTGTGTTTAGCTTAAGCGATTTAATATTGCAAGTTGAAAATTTATGCTTTTTTTAAAGATTTTTAGTAAAAATGGAGGATAACAGTGTTCTTTGTGATGAATTGAAGTGTGTTAAAGTGCTATCGGAGGAAAAGGTAAAATCTTTAAATTTGTTGAGATAATACACAAGGCCAAGAGTGTATTTCACACTTATTAACTATCGCAATTGATCGGAGAGGAAAAGGTAAAATCTTTAAACTTTGTTGAGATAATACACAAGGCCAAGAGTGTATTTTAGACTTATCAATTATCGAAATTAAAAAACAGTTATTGGTACAATTAAAACGTTCACCAACATTTTACGCGGACGTAATTAAATCTTTGCTTAAGAAGGAGAGACGATTCCATTTAGAATGTAAAAAATTCGTTTTTTTAATTTAGTACATAGTTTGTTTGTACTTTGTTCATGTTTTACTTTTGTTCAAGTATTGTATTGTAAGTAAATATCTTTTTCTTTCGCTCAAACAAACCCAAACAGCTTTTTTCAAAGCCACTGAAGCTATGCAATTGCTGATATGTAAAAAAATCTATCTAACAGTAGTATGCCTTCTGTATGCTTTGTTAAACACGTCCTTGATAGCACTGAATATGAAACGAAGAGTGGAGACAGATCAAGATTGGTGTATTTTTATAAAACTGTTAAAAACAACAATCTATTTATTTATCAATTTATATCTTTGGCTTGCCCTAGTTTGGAGCTCTAGCTTCACCACTGATTACAAGGGGTGCCAGATTAGACAGGGCCGGATTATCGAGGGTCCACTGTATACAGTTTAAAGCTGTTCACTAAAATTTGAATGTAAATTATTATGCTCTAAATGAATGGTTATTTCATATGCAATCTGATAACTAATGTCACCAATAACGACATAAATAGTTCAAATATAAAAGCTTTGTACATATTACGATAATCATATTGTAAGTAATTAACATGTTTGTTAGCTATTTTTTATTTATTTTCAGGAAATTATTACATACATGTTAAAAATGGTAACAAGGGCAAAAAAACAAATCTTACCTTCTGGAGGCGGCGGCGGCGGCGGCGGTGGTAAAATATTCACCTTTTTGTGATGGGCTAGAGCATGTGGTGGCAATTCTCCTGTTCTATAAAAATGTTGTTCTTCAAAAACTGTAGCATGAACATATTTACAATTTGGGAGAGTGCATACACAATTTTGAAAATTTCTGCAGAATGTATAGACACCAACCAGTTGTGATACATCACATTTGTGACTGAATTTGCAGGTTCCTGGTCTTGTGCACCTTCCTCTAATAAAATCTCTGCACATTGGTTTCGGTTTATTTCCGTCAGTTTCTTCTGCACCATTTAATTCGGCGGTTACTCCCTCAGGGTTTAAAGTTTCAGAAGATTCCTCACCAGGGTTTTGATATTCAATATCCTCAATTTCCTGTTTAAGTTCTAAAGTTAAATTTGGTTTCTCGTCAGGTGGTGGCGGATCTAAAGGCAAAGGCGGTTGCACATCTGGCATTGCTCTTTCTCTACCAACGTTTGGGGGTGGCTCGGCTAAAATAGTTGGTGAACCTCGGCTCGTAGTTTCATTATGATCTATTTTAGACTTAATAAACTTTTTCATAATTTCAGGCTTTGATGCTGATTGGGTTTTTATATCTTCCACACCGGCTCGTGTAAAAACAGTTGACTCTGTAAAGTTTAAAGAAGGTAAATGACAAAAAATGCATAAGAAAAATGTTGCTTTCATTTAATGTTATATGTTTATTTATTTATGCGTTCCTTATGTTTCAAATGGTTACATAATTAGTGACTAAGTATTGAAATAGGAATCACATGTCTAACCCATCCAGTAGCTTGAATTCAGTCCAGAATCCCACTTAAACTCTGAAGTAAGACATTATATCCCCGAAACTTCACTGCTGCATTAAATAACTACAGTTTTCAATCTACTGGGCTGGAAGGGATATGGTATTAATATCAATGGCCCACTCAGCTTCCGACAATATAGTCATTATGCAGGAAGAATTGCTCAAGAACCTTAGCACTTTGGTTACTGATCTCAAATGTGACTTTCAAATAAATTTTAAAATAAACAACAAGACAAGACAAAGCTCATGTGTAACATCCTTATCAAACCTATGCAGTCCTTGTTTTACATATTCCGTACTAGGTACATTTTTAGACAAAAACGCCAGACTAGATAAATCCAACTTCAACTAGGCAAGAGATCAATTGACGGATTCAACTCTGCTGGGCAGTGTTCAGGAATCTCTAAACATCTCGTCTTGTAAGAAAACTTGAAAGTGAATGTGTAGCCAGTAAATGTTGCCAATTATGATATGGATCTGAGACATGATCGAAGTCAATGCATTTCCCTTCGTCATATCAACACTCCTCTTCCCCCGCGACTGCACCTTGACTACGACGGAAAGGGGGTCCATTATCGTGTCGTTTTATGTTTTAACTCGTATGTTCGAACAAAGAGTTGAATCATCGTGCAAATATGTGTTTAATTAAAATGTATATATAAGAACTTTTAGTTTGGGAAAGGAGTTCGCGTACAAAAATGTAAGCAAGTTTTATTTTGCTTTCAATTTATAATAATGAATAATTTTTATTGAAATTATTTTACAATATTAAAATATAGATAGTATATTCGACAAAAGCATTTTAGTGCCAGTGGTATAACTAGTTAATATAGTACTAGTTAATATAAAGCTATATAATTATAAAAAATTATTTGGAAATATAACATCTTACACTTCGAAGTTAAAACAGAAGCTATGTTGGTATTTATTTATCATTTTTCAATAATAAAGAATATTCCAGCCCTTGGTATTTGGTTAAAAACTCTTTTTTAATTAGGAAAACCAGAATTTCAAACTCTAAATGACTATTTAATATTTTAAACGGATTACAGAAGTCACAATTGAAAGGACCAGCTCTACATAATAGTGCAGGCAGTGAAAAAAATTAGATCATTTTGTTAACCTTTTAACTGCGGGTGTCCAAGTCTTAGACATATTTTACCCGCTTTTTCAATGAAGAAACAAAGCATTATGCACTATGTCTAACTCATTCTACCATATGTCGATGTATACAGAATAAAAAAGGATAACATAAAAACCCCATAGCTCACTTTAGTAGGATTTTTTATCTATATCATCTGTTGATTTCGTCCCTTGAGTCAGCCATCAGTGTGATTAAAGCGCGCTAAGCTCAGAGTTGTTTGCAATTATTTCGTATAAATTTTGATTGATTGTGTGAAAAATTGTGATAAAACAATGCCTTGGTCAGTAACCTTTCTATTTGTAATCTCATTTTGTTAATTGATAGAATCAGGCGTTACTTTGCGGAAATCCATTATAATAAAGGATAGTGATTAATTTGCAACATTCCGCTAAGTGTTTTGCCTCTACACGAGGCATCCTCAGGTGATGTAGACTCTATGGCGGCTAACCGCTAAGTCCGCTAGACCACTTAGTTCTTAGCGGTCAGCCACCGTAGAATCTACATCACCTGAGGATGCCTCGTGTAGAGGCGAAACACGTGTCGTATTATCGTCGATGGTGTGTCTTTCCTGAAATAGTGGTGTCGGAAGTAGTGGTGCCGGGAGTAGTGGTGTTGGGAGTAGTCGTGCTGGGACTAGTGGTGACGGAATTAGTGCATGCAATTGAGGGAGGGTGGGAGGTGCTCTTCAATCCAGGTATGACACATCATTGTATTTAATTAGCGGAAGGTTGCAAATTAATCAATATCTTTATTACCTCATTTTGTGTTTAATCTCATTTAGTACGTGTGAAATGGTTTTTAATTTGTATGATGTAAACCGCTATCTTGAAACTAACATACAGGTTGCGGAAAGTTGACTTGAAATGTACGTAAAATTTTAATGTTTTATGTAAAGACAGTTTAAGTAATAGTAATAGATCGGACATCAGCAACAAAATTGTCGTCTGTAACTTTTGTCCGATTTTTACCATTTAGTCTAAGTGACATCATCGAAGGGTCAAGACGCATTTGTTTCATAAATTTAAAAAATATTTTCAAAGAAAATATGCCCGGTTGTGCATTAAGGTATTGTAAGTCACGATATGGAGCAAAAAATGAATGTGATTTCGGTTTATAATCCTAAGAATAATGTATATTTATTATTTACCTAAAAATCTTTCAATTTTATTATTTCTAGTGGATTGTTCTAAAAGAAAGAAAAATTATTGTAATAGGTACTTAAATATTTTATTTTTTTATTTTAATAAAAACAGTTTGTGGTATTTTATGGTCACCTCAGAAACATTTTTATAGGGGTTTTTTAATGTACATTTTATTTGTATGTACTTTGCAAAATTCGTATATGAATTTCCTTTTTTAATACAAAAAAATCTGCTTTTTTGTCTTGTGGTAGTTTTAATTTTGCACATTTTTTTGCTTTAGAGGTGTGCGAACGTTACGTGGTAGAGTAGCTTCTAGTGGTAGAGTAGAGACACGGAAGGCGATGAAGCGAGAGGCGACGTCGCAGGAGGCGATGACGCTGTAATTAAGTGGGGAGTTAAGTAAGTAGCCACTTGTTATAGGAACTGTTTTATAAAGTGAGCGTTCGTATATTGTTACGCTCAATTATATGTCTATGTTATAGCAGAAGCACTACTCTGGGCGTGGATAACCCACCTTCACCGAGCGTGAAAGTAAAATAAAAAAGATTAAATGTGAGGCAAAAGTATTTTTCAGGTAATAAACGGCTCTCGATAATGAAATCGGTGATTTCCTCAATTATGGTTGGTAATTTTTATTACACTCCAGGTTTTGATATTTTTATAGGGATGTAACGATTCCGATACCGATATATCGACCGATATAATCGGCAGACCGATATATCGGCATCGCCGATTATATACAACCAATATCAAGAGTTTAAGAAGCACACGAAACAAACAACGCACCCGCGACGTTCTTGCTTAGCTCAGTTGACTCAGAGTATCTGTTTTCAACTGCAAGTCTCATCCAAAATCATTTGCATAACATATATAGAATAATTAAATCTAAAAACAAACTTTGTTTTCTTAACAAAAATCTGCCAAAAGTTAACTTTAATTAACGACCGGTTTACTTGATCACTTTGTGTAATGAAAATTACTATCTAAATTAGAGCTTTGATTGCTTGATTATTACATATAAATAAAGGTTTTCTTTGAATTTTGAATTGAAATTTTATGACATTTTTCCTTTTCAAGGTACAGTCTGATAAATATAGGTAACTTTTATGCATAATAAAGAAAATTATTCATTATTTATTTGTTTTTCTATTTCTACTAAGCCACAGATAAAGGTATCAGTATCGGTATCACCGATCATTTACTGCAATAATCGGTATCGGTATCGGCACAATTATGTATCGTTATATCCTTAATTTTTAATGTATAGTTTGGTAGCCGACAATTGTTTTTTTCTTCATAGGGAGCGAAGATGAAGACGATTTAGAGAAGCGCGAAGATGACGATAGCAGTGAGCTCACGCTTCCCCGCGCATTGCTGATGGTCTTTGAGCCGGAAGATGACACGCTCGAGAAGGCAGAAGCGGCTGGGAAAATTGATGTGCCTTAGTTCATACCACCACCCCTGAATCACAAGTCAACCCCGGTGGTAATCAATATATTTTAATAATTGATTTTTGTTTACATTGCCTCATGGCCCCTCTAGTTTTTATGATTTTTGCTAGAGGAGTTACCCCAGCGATCCAGTTTCGCCCGCTGAGCGTCGGGAACTATTTGTGAGTGACAGTGACATACAACAAATCCATATGATATATTCACAAGGATTTGGAATAGTTCAATCATGGGAACGCGCAGCTGTATCCATCTATCCTTTCATCATAGTCTTAAAAGTCATTAAAGGCCACTGCTGAACATTACCCATAGATTGCCTCATAGGGAGGGTTTTGCCATAGTTGACATGCTTGGCGAGCGGGTTGACAACCGCAGCTTTTTTTTATTTTGAATTGTTATCAGGAAGATGCTGCTGCCTATCACCTGTTTAAATTTCCCTCTGTCTTCCTTACGACACCTACTGGTCGATATTGAGTAGTGGATATTCTTACACCACCACTACACTAATTAGGTTGAGACAAATATAGATGAAATATATGTGTATTTCACAATTAAATTGGCAATGGGGGTTCTTTTTTTAATCTTTTTTAATGTCGCTTGGCAGATTTCAGTTATTAAATAGGTGGATTAATTTCAACTATAATACACTTCTAATGCCAGATCCATCACCTAGAGGCTAAATTATTCTAAATAGCACTGTTTGTCTCATTTGAATTTCAAATTTACAACTTTATTTAACTTTCATCAAACCGTCGCGCTAGATGAGTCGCTTATTCTATGAAAGGGGTGGCTTAATATGAAGCAATATATACCAAACCAAAAGTTGGTGGTAGGGATTAAGACCCTATGAGGTGTGTGACTCCTGCACAAGATGTTTGTGGAGGTTTGAGGTACATACGGGTGCTGAGGTTGAGATTGCATGATTATTTTGGTTTCTGCTGGTTAGGCATACCAAAAAAATAAACTAGTGCTCACAACCTTGTATGATAATTTGTCTAAAGTTGATACTAAAAAAAATCTAAAATATTTTGGTTTTGGACTCAAGGCTTGAGTAAAAAGTAAATTTCATTTCAAAATTTATTTCTGTGCCTTAAACAATTAAATGCAGTATAAAAATTTTTTTGGCCGACTCAAGCTTGGCCACCATGAATGCCAAATCCAGTCCAAGCTACATTCCACATTCGAGTAAGTTGATTATTTGGTACTTGTTAGCTTATTTTCAATGCGTTTTAGGATAAAAAAATTTATTGCAGCCTATAATTTATCACATAAAATGTTGTAAATGCATTTAAGGTTAAAATTATTTAAGGTTAAAATAAAACAAAATTGAATTATTAAAGAACTTTGTTTCATTGAGAAATGACATTTATGACTTTACTCAACATTTACTTACACTTATTACTTTGGGACTTTATTAAATTTATGTACCCATTTATAGGAAATTTCATAAAGAATTTAGAAACGTATACATGTTATAGTATTTGAAATACCAGAATCAAGAAATTTGCGTTAAGACGGACTGCGTCCAATCAGTCGTCAATTTTTACTAAACAGCTCCGCAGTCAATGGAGTAGGGGTTTAGAGTATCTGCAGCTGAAAGGTTATGTAATTCTTGAGATATCTTATATAAAGAGAATTTATGACACAGACGAAAGGATATAAAGAATCCTTGTATATTTTCTGGGACTTTGTTATAAAATCCGAGATTATGAACGTGAGCAGAAGCAAGTCCCCTGGACATGATGGTCTAAGTATTGATCGTTTAAATATGAAGGTGTTAACCTGTCAAAGGTCCTGTCCTTGTTCTAGACAATGTGTATCAGTCACCCTATCTCCTTTACAACTACAGTAGCAAAAATATTGGATAGTTTGCTAGATGCATGTTTGAAAAAGCATTGTGATTGTATGATGCTCAATTGAATTTTATTTTTAATTTCAACAAGGATTGTAGTCTGAGAGCAGTATTTTAAGCCTCAAATTAAAACTGTATGTCCAACATTCTCCAGATCAATTGAAGTTTTGTACAGATCTCTCCAAAGCATTTCAATTTGTGTATATATACACAAATATACCTAACATTACCCTAAATGGTGTGAACGTTAATATATAGTTAAATATCTGGGGCATTATTTTACTGACAACCTTAAGGACAATGTAGATACAGAGGAACTAGGAATATTATACTTTCGGCACGTTTCTCTAACTAATTTTCATGCCTTTAGTTATCTTGTCTATAGCTTTTATGACATCTTCCTGCAATATAAGGAATATTTGAAAAAAGTTGTTTTCAATGGAATTGTGGCTGTAAAAAAAGTGTAGGCCAGGTAGGTAGGTCAATTACTGAATACACAGCATAGATATTATTAGTGATAAAACACTGGTCAACAACTGGAACATTGTGAATTTTTGAAGAAAATTAATATAATAATTTTTTGAAGTATCTTTAGGGAATATAAATGTAAAAGAAAATATAAAAAATGTATTAAAAAAACAAATCACCAGTTGTTGACCAAATTGAATATTACTGGAAAATCATAGAATTTGTGTTCCAATTGTTTACCAATGACAAACATTGATTTAAATTATCAATATTTGATAAAATAAGATGTTATATTATTATTATATTCAAGATATCATATAGTTAACTCGAAAATAGGTTACAATAACTGATATAAAAAAGATTTAAAAGGATTGGAATAAATTACTGTCATATGCACGCTTAGTAAAATGGCCGTCTGGAACAAAGTGAATGATTGTCATTACAGATTGTTGGTATTTTATTGATAAATATGGGGTGTGTATTAAAATTTCTGGCCAGCAAAAGTTGAAAGAACTGTTTGACAGCGACTTCACACAGAGATGTGGTTTTGCAAGCTTAAATGATTGAGACAAAACAGACTGGGACCCTGATTAAAGAAATTAAGTCCTCTCATCTCTTATCCCTATATATCCTATCTCTTATCTCTACATATCTTACTATACCCATATGAATGACTTTAAAAGAGAGGATCAGTCTCACATCTAGCCAGAGATTTAAATATATATACTATAGAGCGGTCATTGGGAACATTTGCATACAAAAACTGTGACCTCGCGCGTGTGTTACGCCCTCTAGCGAAACATAGCAATACTATGCTAAATAATTATTTGGAAAATATTTTAGCTATTCCCCATTGTGCTACTAAATATAAGGTAAAAATCCATTTTAGGCACGTCATCAATCACTAACATATTGGTAAATATGTGGTGGCACTGTCGTCGCACTACAAGCAAAACACATCAAAGCCTAAATTGTGCTATCAAAGTTCCGAATCAAAAACAGTATATATAGAATAGCTCTGAACTATCACATGGAGCTCTGGTCGCTCCTCAGGCAGAACACCTCGCCCGGCGGGAGATCTCCCCTTTCTCTCCTTCGGCCACAAATAAATAGTGATGTTACTGGATAACAGAGGGCGCTAATTACAATAATAAACCTTCTAGAACAATCTACTAGAAGTAATAAAATTATTTAAAGATTATTTGGCAATTATAACATTATTCTTACAATAATAAACCAAAATCATGTGCATTTCTTGCTTGCTTGCACATATTGTGACTCAAAATACCTTAATGCACAACCGGGCATATTTTCTTCAAAATATTACAGACAACAGTTACAGATGACAATTTTGTTGCTGATGTCCGGTCTATTACTACTACTTATGTCTTTGTAACTAGCACATGCCATAGCTTGGTTCTCAATAAAACTGAAATCTGGGATTCCATAGCATCTACCAGTTTAATATTGTCATTGAGAAAATAATTCCAGATGTTAAATCATTTACAATCTTGCTTACAAGAACTATGAAGGGTGCAATATTATCAATGGAATAGAAGTCATACAAGGACTGGATAAGTGGTACAGGTTGTTATGAATTTGTGATTAAACATTCATCAATTCTGTGGATAAACTAAATTAATGAATTATCAGATGTTTGTGATTTACCACAACTTAATTAGTATATTTTGTATATGAGGAGGTTGGGATTCATAAGAAACCCTCTTTGGACTATTTTTTTTTTTTTTTTTTTTTTTTATAGGATAGGGTGACAAACGAGCACACAGTCCACCTGATGGTAAGCGGTTGCTGCGGCCCATAGACATCTACATCTATCCTCCATTACAAATCAAAATGCAGATGCGTTGTCACCCGTGAGGACTGAGATGGAATGCCTCATTTCCAGTAAAAAGGGTCTCCGGTTCTCTACACTCACCATACGAAATACAGGCAGCATTAAGCTACTATTTCACGCTGGTATTCTGTGAGAGCGTGGTCCTTCCCCGGTCGAGCCGACCCATTCGTGCTACAACTATACTACTAATATAATTGCAGCATGGCTCTACCACGTATAAAACTAGTACGACTAGTAGAATCTTCTCCCATTTTATTTCTACTAATTACATATAAAACAACACAATGTAGTATTTATATCTATTATAGCTAATAGCAAAAGGAAGAATGATAAAAAGATTAAATCAACAGATCTATGTATTCCTCAAAAATCGTCCAAAAAATCCTTGGATTTACTTAGTTACACCATTTGTACCCTAGGTAAATAGTTAAGGTATATTTACCTGGGACAAGGTAAACAGTAAGATCCAACTGACGACACGCGCATACATCCTATTTTTTAAGTTTATAAAAATGCATAATTAATCGAAAATCACTTACCTGCCTGCGTAAACTGCATTTACTAATTCAACCACCGACGCGTTTTCTACACAAATAAAGAATATGCATAGCCAGGAAAACTTAATTTGTAATGTTAGAGCTACCTTCACAAATAAAATAACTAAAAAGCTATGTATTTAGCAAACTATTTAAATAATTTCTCTTTGCCCGGGTACAGCGTTCATCAAAATTTCAAATAAAGAGTATTTTACACGAGAGCTTCCTATATCTATGACACGAGGATCAAAATGATCAAAATGGCCACACAAGAAAACAGACGAGACGAAAGAAAATGGCTGTCATTTTTTTTTACATAGCTGTCACCCAGTCACCTGTCAACTTGTCAGCAGGCAAAGCTGCCAACTACGAAATTCAAAAATACCCGAAATTCTTGACTAAATTTCCGATTACGGAAAAGGAATTCGTCACGTCTTTAAAGGCATTATTTATGAAACTCGTTAGGTAAATATTAATATTTTAGCGTTGACATTCAGTGCGAAAACAAATATTTTCTTAATTCCTTTGTGTTTATGAGAGGAACATTTTACGGCAAAGACGAATTGTAGCTGCGCTAAGCTAAATATATACGAAATAGGTTCGCATCTTATTTGAAAGTTATTACTTAATTAAAATGAAAAACCTAGAAAAAAATCCTATCCTAATAACTAAAAGTGCCGTGTAGTGGCGGCTGAGAATATCCACTACCCCATATCTTCCCGTGGGTGTCGTAAGAGGTGACAGAGGGAGACAGGCAGGATATGGGCAGCAGCATCTTCCTGATAACAGCAATGATATAATAAAAAACTGCGGTTGCAAACCCGCTCGCCAAGCGTGGCAACTATGGCAAATATCCCCCCATGAGTAAGATGCAAACAAACGGCCCCCAGTCCCCGGCGGCCCCGCTATTCCTGGCTACGGTGGCGACCATGGTAACGGCGGGGCAGGGAGTGCTAAGAATCTCCGGTGGAGGTTCGGTTGCCACCTACGACGACTCGATCTGGCAACATATAACTGACAACTGAGGACTGACGAAAAGATACTGGAGTTGGAAGAAGAGGTAGACAAGTTGCGCTGGCATATTATTGGGTTATCCGAGGTCCGAAGAGACGGGGAGGACACGGTAATCCTCGAGTCCGGCAACTTGTTCTATCACCGGGAGGGCGACCATCTGTCCCAAGGAGGTGTCGGATTTATCATCCACAAGTCTCTCGTCAACAACGTGGTAAAGATTGGGAGTGTGTCGACGAGGGTCGCGTACCTGATACTCAGAATCACCAAACGGTATTCGCTGAAGGTCTCAGCGCAACGACACAATATTTCTAGAGTCTTGCATTCCTCCAAAACCCACTACACGGTGTTGATGGGAGACTTCAACGCAAAACTAGGCACAAGAGAAAGCGGTGAGCTGAAGTTAGGGAAATTTGGAGTAGGGCAACGGAACCGTAGGGGCCAGTAGCTGGCCGTCTTCATGGAGAAAGAGGAACTCTTTATGATGAACTCTTTCTTGCAGAACCGGCCCCACAGAAGTGAACCTGGTTGAGCCCCGACGGTTCGACAAAAAATGAGATTGACTTCATTATGACGCCCAGACGCCAACTGTTCAGTGATGTCTCAGTGATCGCAAGGATGAAAACTGGCAGCGATCACCGAATGGTTAGAGGCACACTGAACCTAAACGTTAAGTTGGAGAGGTCTCGTCTAATGAAGTCAACGCTCCGTCCCCCTCGTGCTCTAATCCAGAATCCCGAAACCTTTCAGCTCTAGTTACGTAACCGCTTTCAGTGCCTAGAAGATTGCAATGCAGTGGACGATATGAATGACAAGCTCGTGGAAACTGTCCACATCGGTCGGAGCTAAGTTCTGCAAGACCGGCCGCAGAAGAACGCAAATGCTCTCCGATCACACTCTTAATCTCATGGCTGTTAGACGGGAGATGAGGCTGCAATCGTCAACAGATTTGACAGCATACAGGCAACTGAACAGACAGATCTCCAAATGCATGCGGCGAGACTTACGCAAATTTAATACTGCTCGTATTGAAGAAGCGATTGAGCGGAACCAGGGCTCCAAAGTCTTTGCCAGAGATCTGTCTGCCAGAAAGACCCAACTGTCAAAGCTGAAGACTGGGTGTGGCAGCATCGTTTCCGGGACACCTGAGATTCTGAGTGAGATTGAGAGGTTCTATGGGCAGCTGTACACATCATCGTTGGAAGCCATACGCAAGTGTGAGTAACGATCCAAGAGCGGGTCTTATCCAACACTATTCCGATGACACCCCGGACGTCAGTCTGAGCGAGATTAGAATGGCTCTCCAGGACCTTAAAAACGGCAAGTCCCCGGGCGAGGATGGAATTACAGCGGAGCTTCTGAAAGCGGGTGGAAAACCGGTACTTAAAGTCCTTCAGAGGCTCTTTAATTGCGTCCTCCATGGTGGCACTACTCCGGAGGCGTGGAGCAGAAGTGCGGTGGTCTTGTTCTTCAAGAAAGGTGACAATGCCCTCTTGAAGAACTACAGACCGATATCCCTTCTGAGCCGCGTCTACGTGCTGTTTTCAAAAGTCATTACGAATCGTCTCGCACGCAGACTCGACGACTTCCAGCCTCCCGAACAAGCCGGTTTCCGAAAAGGCTTTAGTACCATATACCACATACATACCCTTCGGCAAATTGTACAGAAGTCCGAAGAGTACAATCTGCCACTTTGCCTGGCGTATGTGGACTATGAGAAAGCTTTTGATTCCGTCGAAATTTGGGCGGTGCTACAGTTTCTTCAGCGGTGCCAAGTTGACTGACGGTATATCGAAGTGCTGAAGTGATTTTACAGTAGGGCTACAATCTATCCGAGTACAGAACCAGAGTACGAAACCTATCCAACTGCAGAGAGGTGTAAGACAGGGTGACGTTATTTCCCCGAAACTCTTCACCGCTGCGTTGGAAGACGTTTTCAAGCTACTGGACTGGAAAGGATACGGTATTAACATCAATGGCGAGTACATCACTCACCTTCGATTTGCCAACGATATAGTCCTTATGGCAAAATCGCTGGAGGATGTAAGCACTATGATCAATGACCTCAATGGTGTCTCCCAACGGATAGGTCTTAAGATGAACATGGACAAAACAAAGATCATGTTTAATGTCCATGTCACACCTATGCCGGTAGTTGTTGGAAGCACTATGCTCGAAGTTTTTGACGAGTACGTTTACCTGGGACAAATACCGACTAGGTAAGTCCAACTTCGACCGAGAGATCAAGCGACGGATTCAACTCGGCTGGGCAGCGTTGGGGAAATTACGACACATCTTCTCGTCAAGTATACCTCAATCTCTGAAAACTAAAGTGTATCACCAATGCGTGTTGCCAGTTACGGATTTGAGACGTTCACTGCTGGCCGTTTGAGGACGCTCAAGGTCGCTCAGCGAGCTATGGAGAGGGCTATGCTCGGAGTTTTTCTGCGTGATAGACTCAGAAATGGGGATATCCGCAGTAAAACCAGAGTGACCGACATAGCCCAACGGATTAGTAAGCTGAAGTGGCAATGGGTCGGCCATATAGCTCGAAGAACCGATAACCGATGGGGAAGAAAGATTCTCGAGTGGCAGCCTCGTACCGGTAGGCGTAGTGTAGGGCAACCCCTCACTAGATGGAGTGACGACCTGGTAAGACATGCAGGAAGCCGATGGATGCAGGTGGCTCAGGACCGTGCTTTGTGGCGTTACTTGGGGGAGGCCTATCTTCAGCAGTGGACTTTTGAAGGGCTGTAATGATGATGATGAATGATGGTGGATAATTATAAGTATATCAATATCCGAATTTTATATATAAGTTAAATAATCGATAAATCAAAAATCCAATATCCTAAAAAATACGAACAGTTTTAGTTTGAACTGATCAGTTGGAATTATCAGTTGAACTTACCGTGTGTTGCGACCATATCACTTAGTAAAATTAAGGATTTTATTAACCCGGTTAATAATACGTATTTATATCAACGAAAGATGAATAATGCAGAAACAAATCGTAGTTGAATAATGTACAACTTCGTACTATCGTTGTATAATTTAAAATACCTATATTGTGAAAAGTTCACTATGAAATCTACTTCAATTCAGCCGATATATTTCAAATTCTCCTTAGACTTAGTATGGGTTTGTGTGTGTGTGTGTGTGTGTGTGTGTGTAACTGTGTTTGTTTAATCGACACTTAGTTTGTGTCACGGGACACTGCTATGACAGTTTCATTTATAGAATAAGGGTGCCAAACGAGCACACAATCCACCTGATGGTAAGTTGGTGCTGTGGTCCATAGACATCTACATTTATTCTAGATTAAAAATTAAATGCAGATGCGTTGTCAATGACTAAGATGAAATGCCTGGTTTCCAGTAAAAAGGGTCACTGGTTCTCTACACTCAACATAAGCCTTAAGCTGCTATTTTACGCTGGTATTCTGTTAGAGCGTGGTCCTACGATACTGTTACCTATCTCACGTTTCATACCTCTCTGTCGTCTTTTATGATACTCACGGGATGGTATGGGGTCCTTAGAGTTTCTAAGTAATAATATATATTATTTGGTAGGAGGTAGTGAATAATTTTTCACGGCTTCTACACAGCACTATCATGATCTTGCCTTACCTTCATGATTTAGAAATATTTTCATCCAAGCAAATAAAGCTTTGTTGAATATAATCGATGGTTTATATTCTCGGCTAAGCAAGTGGTAAATCTATAAAAATAAAAATCAGTTACCGCATGTATGAAAGGTCATTACTTTAAAAAGGTTGGACAAATTTCAATAAATATTCACACTTACAATTGGACCCGGTAAATGGCTTTGTTGTCGATATCTAGGAAACAGTCGTGCGTAGTTAATTTGATCTCTTGGGCGCCTTATGAACTTGAGTGGCTGTCGTCATCAACAGTCCTCTGGGTCGAGGTCTCGTCAAAATCTCCCAAAAACTTCGCAATGTGACGGATCAGTATATTGTGAAGAAAAAATAGATAAAATGAAGATTCT